GAGCCAACAAACAGCTGATCAGCTGTTTGTCGGCTCAGCGCGGCAGCCATGTAAATGTAAATGAAGCCGCGATCATTTAAATCATGGCTTCATTTGCCTTTGCCTATGTGTCTAATCTACATGCCTCTGATGACAGATGCATGTAGTCTAGACACAGCCTAAGTGTTCTTGTTTTCTTCTTTGAGGTTGGCTCCTGTATATTCCCACTAGTGAAACTGGGTGTCCAAATACCCTACGTGGCTTTCATAAGTCTATTATCAAATAGGTCAAGTCTAGAGAACAGCGTTTTTCAAACTGTGGGTCAGGATCCCAAAGTGGGTCACGACCCCCATTTTAAAGGTTTAAAGGGGCTGGTTTAAAGGGCCCCAAGGCTAAAACTTAAACCCCACCACCCAGGGCTAAAACTGAACCTTGAGGGCTTCAGCGTTGAGCAGCAGGGCTCCGGTTACAGATCTCCTCTTTGCATCTGAAGCTCTTGGGCTTTAGCTTTGTCCTGATGGGGCAGGGTCTCCCCCCTACCCAAGCTAGTAGGGTTCAGACAGGCTTAGGCTTTCCGACACCTTCTTTGGATTATGTAGTAATTTTGGTTCTCAAAAGGGAGTTGTGGAGCAATGAAGTTTGAGAACCTCTGCCACAGAGTAATGTACATAAAGATGGGGGAAAAAATCCTAAAGATCTCTATCGTAGAAACAACCTGTATCGTACAAAAGTTTCACAGGGTTAGCCATGTTAGTCTGTAACTGGAAAAACTTAAAAAAATAATGAATAGTCTTGCAGTACCTTAGAGATAACATCTACATTTTTTTTGTTAGCCATGAGCTTTCGTGGGCACAACCCACTTCTTCAGATGAATGGCGTATAAGGTATACAGCTTTCAAATAAATAGCACAGAAAGCGGATGCAGGGGAGAGAAGGAAAAAGAAGGAAAAATGGGGAAAGAAATTGTCAAGTAGAGTGTTCGTGTTAAATGAAGCTGATAAGAGTACTTAGTACACACTCTAAGTACCCTTTGTTTGGTTTTTTATGTCATTAGGATGTAGACTATAGCGGGCCATCCAGCCAACATCTTTCTCTAGACTTCTGTTGTAGGTATCAACTTTGTATATGAAATTAAGTATAGATTTCAATGTATAATCTATTTCACTAGTGGTTACGTTAAAGAGCAGTCCCTTAAAACCTACTGTAGCTTTTGGGGAAAAGCAACTTCCTAAAAGTCTTCAAGTCCCATGTAAATAAAAACTGAAATATTCTTAACAGCTAGAATATGTATAGAGCCTAGGTTCACCTAAATGAAAGTGGGGGTTGGATGTGCACATAGAGCAGCTTAGTCCTTATGGAGGATAGAAGGAAATCAGCCACCGACATCATTTTTCTCATAGATATAACTTTGTGATTTTTAATTGTAAATGTCTTTTGCAACAGATTAAATAAAAAACATTCCATCAGTTATTCAAAATGAACGTACGTTAACTTTATCAGCACCCAGAGTCCAGATTAGACCAGATTTTCTGACAGTGAAGGTGTATTAAGTAGCCCTTTTAGGAATTTTACAATAGTGGAATGGCTAAAGTATTTTCAATTACCAACTAAAAACAGTGTGTTGAAATGTAAATAGATCACGCTGAATAGTGACAAGGAGAGGCTCAGACTTCACGTACAATAAATAGTCCAGAATGGATAAAATGGCAGCCTACCTAGAGACAGGTTATCTGTTGCCTACAGAGATAAGTTATTTTCCTTTGATAGGGGAGAAAAAAAGTTACAAACCTGTTCTGCAACCTACTCTTCGAAATGTTTTCCACATGTGCACTGGACTGCACATGTGTGTGTGCCTTTGGTACAATTGTCAGAATGCATCTCACTCAGCGGTACCCACTGGGACAGCTCACACTGCATGCAGCATAAAGGGCAGAGCCAACTCCAATCACCATCAGTTCCTTTTAGACAGAAAACTCCAATGCAGAGGGGCAAGAGGGCAGGTCACAGAGCGGACATGTGCAACACATGTTGAAGAATAACATTTATGGAACAGGTCAGTAACTGTTTTTTCTTCTTTGAGGGATTATACATGGGCATTCCACTCCTTGTGACTCAAGTCATGAAAACAGGTGATGGGATCAGAGCAGGAACTGAAGGACTGTTAAACCAAATCTGGCATCATATCTAGCTTGCCAATTGGGAAAACAAGCCCAAAAACCTTAAAAAAAAATCACAACTAAAACTTATAATCCTAATTGTATTGAAGACTAAATTACCTCTATCACACAGACTATATTTACAAATGCTGGGAGAGAGAGAACAGCTTTGGCATGGAACAGAGTTCTAAAGACCACTGCAGGCAGTAAGAAGGAATTGAGGAGGCTTAAGGGAGGCTCTGACTTTTACACCTCTATGGAGTGGTGCACAGCAGTGGGAATTTGAGCTACAGCTGGATGCACTGATGCCAAGACCAGAATGAATACGTACGTCAGTCACTTGAGAACAAATGATTTGTGCATAAGGAGGTCAGGTGACACTGTTAGATGATAATTTAGACCATAAAGTTTCTGGAGGAGGGTTTGTATCTTAACTATGTTTATGCAAAGTTCAAAACAATGGAGCCCCAATCCTAAGGATGCATCTTTCAGTGTTATTTTAGTATAAATTATATTTATAAAATGATACAGGGGCTCTCTCATGACAGGTCCAGAAGATCTCAGTGCCACTGCTGATCTGTCAGACCTAGAGCACTCAGTCTAATCTAATTTTTCTGATCACCAATAAAAATAATGGAATGCATCAGATACAGTAGCGGTTCCACCTCACTCTGAAGCAAAGCTGAGGATGCTTTGCACTGATTCTTGTGGGAAAACACATCTATGAAAGATTTCAAATGTATCCAGTTCTTTATCTTTTAAATTAATGGGATTGTTTACAGATTAAGGCACTTTTCAACATTATTAAGAATACCTGGCCCTATGTTAACATTGTATGTCAAAGTTTCCAACCTATTGAGACATCCACTTTTGAAATGTTCAAGTTGCCACTTGGGTATAATAAAAGGACTATTTATAGTCTTACGTGTTGATTTGAGAATCCACTTATCAGATTTAAGCAGCCCATTAAACTGCTCAGTTTTGAAAAATGGCCTTCCACAATAAATTCTAAACTCTGATGTACAGCATTTGTCTTCACATAGCTTGAAAAAAAATCACTACTGAATTAACATGACAGTGAATTTTCAAAACACATATCTAAAATTATAACCCAGACCTCTGTGTTTAATTTTGGCCTCCTGTGCTTGGATTCAGATACTACGGTAGATCAGGTACTACAAAGTTTTTCACCACACTAGTTAGGGTAGTTTGCTTTGTTCAGTGATCATTGACACAATAAGCTACTTGGATTGTAAAAAAAATAAAACCTGTCATACCAGATGCGTTACATCAAAACAATTGAAATGTACGTTTTAAATCCAGATTCTGCCATCAGATACAAGGCACAATTTCTGGAAAATCACTTAATAAATGCAACATGATACACAAAATGAGCTCAAATACAGCATTTTAGATCCAAATCACCCTTTTTAAATTTAAGTGACACAAATTCTTATGGTTCTTCCTGAAAATAATAGTACGCATAATCACTTTTTTAGCAAAATATTATCGATAAATTAACCCGTTGCTTCTTCCTGCATAATATTTTGAAGAGCTGGTCTTTATTCTCCATCCATGCCATTAATATTCTCATCTAGGTCCTTATCATCTTGACTACTACATCCTCCTCCTTTCTGGCCACAACAAACTCCCATCTTGACCACTTTACACACTTCCAAAATTTGGGTACCCAGATTATTTTTTTAAGACATTGCTTGGACTAAAACCTCCAATTACTTTCCATTCTCCACCATATCTAACATGTTTTATCAGTTTTTATTATAAGGATTTCACAGCTACCCCTGCCCTACCTGTAATATCTTATACAGTATCAAAATGTATCCGCTATGCAACTGATGTCTGCCTCGACTGCCCATCTGTAAAATTTTCCAACAAGCACCTTCACACATTCTCCCGATTCCTCTCTTGAATAGGAGAATCTCATCATAAAAATGTGCCATGGCACCATATTTTCCCTCCCCTTCCAACTCTTCTCTGTTATAATGCCTACTACAAACTCAACAACGGAACAGACAATGTGTCATGACTGCTTCTATCATGCAGATTGCTATTATTCCTTGAACTCCCCCAGTCTCTTTGTTCTATCCACATGTTGTCTTTCATCTTATGCTTAGTTTGTCATCTCGTGGGGCAGGAACTATCTATTTTGCTATCTAATATACTTATATAATGCCCATCACTGCAATATCTGATCACTTTCCAATCATTAATATATTTATCCTCACAACAGGTCTGGAGAGTAAGGAAATACTCCAGGGGTACTATTATCCCGATTTTACAGAGGGGGAAATGAGGCAGAGAGATTAAGTGACTTGTTCATGGTCACAAAGGAAATCTGTAATGGCACAGGGAGTTGAACCCAGATCTCCTGAATCCCAGTCTAGCATCTTAACCACTGAATCCTGTTTCCTTTAGAAACTACCACAATGAAAATAAATAACAATAAATGAACATTTCAGTTGTAACCTGATCCTCCTAATAAATGTCCACAACAACTGATCTTCAGTAAGGAATAATGGTGTTCAAACATGTCAGTTCTAAACTGAAGCTGGTTTGAGTTACTTAAGGGGAAAAGAGCATCTGAAACCACTAACTTCTATTTTGCTACATTCCTATCACTTAAAACCAGATGAACTGATTTTTAAAAAATTTTTACAGCTGACTAATAAAACCCTAAAAATAAGGTTTTATAATGGAAAGCTGATCCAAACTAAACTATAGGAGTGCTGTTATAAAACATAAAGCATGTGGTCTACTTACTGAATTTGAATAAAAACACAGAGACATTTAAAGAAATAAATTATTCATCATCAAATGTCTTACTTACTTCAAAGCCTCTTCCAGTTTGCGAATTTTCTTTTGAGTATCCCCCCTCTCTTTATCAAAGTCATTCTGGAAGCCATGAATCTATCATTTAAAAAAATTAAAATTTTAGCTACTACAGCCTGTGATCAACCAAACGATTAAGTATTATTTCAATATTGAACTTAATAAGTTAGTTGTATATAAGTTTAGATAAGAAGTTGTTGAAATATAATCAAGCTATGTAATGTTGCCGTAGTTCAAGTATAAAGTTCAGGAACAAAATTAACAGACAGCTGATCTGAATATAACCTTTTCTATTAGTGTGACTCTCCTTCCTGTCCAAAGAGATGTTAAACTTCCAGTGTTAAAAATACAATAATTAGCTTTTTCTTTAGTATCAATTGCCAGAATGAGGATACCGATATATGAAATGAAATAAAAGGTAATTGACAAGAAAAGAGATATAGATTTGTCTCCAATCATAACCTACACAGCCTACACACAAGTTCTCACTCATTGACTTCTTTTGAATTTAACATTACAACTGTTTTTATAAAGATTTATTTCACAAAGCATTTTTAAAAATATGATAAAATGTGTTAACTAAATTACTTTAGCATACTGACAACAGTACAATATATATTCAGGTATTATGGTATCCAAGAACAGTTGCTCCCAAGGAAATAAAACATATGCAGAAAGAACTGCACTAATCTAGAATTCTTTACCCTCTTTAAGATCAAAACTGAGCGTGATTCAACACGTGACAAAGACTGCATATTCTCTTAGCCACATTGTGCAATAAGCACAAGATAAGTCAAGGTTTATTAATCTGTTCTCATTGTGAAATTTTTGGGTACTGTATTTTTGCAGTGGATGTGAACTATGCATCTAACCTAAATGCACACCCATAACAGTTTACAGAATCTTCAACATAAATGTAACTCCTCAGTCAGCCAATATATGTATATACATACATAACATACATGCATAGACATGCATGCCCAAACACATACAACCCTTCCTCCCTCTCTCTCTCTCACATATATAGACTCAAAAGATGTGTGTACAGACACACTCTTTATCTTACATTCCCATTTTTCCTAATTTCATCTTTTTCTCTTTTAAAAATATATTTAGATTATAAACAAGTCTTTAAAACAAGGACTGCATTAAATGCTTGCACAGCACCAAACACATTTTGGATGCTATTATGATACAAAGTAGTAAATCAATATTCTTTTTTAAATAATTATTGTTCTCAGTGCAATCCAAGCTGACAATTTTGTTCTTTTTAAGGCATTACATGGTATAGATCTTACTGAGATCACCTCTCTCCCTGTATACCATTTCAGAGTTCCTAGGCTGTATCTAACATGCCCTACCTTTTAGTGTCAGGAGGCTAGTAGCAAGTTTTAATCTATGAAGGGTTCTTTACTCTGATTCGGTTGGATTAACAGGGGGGAAGTGAGCATCAGAGTTTGTCAACCTCCCAGAAAGGGTACAAAGCACTTCTGCTCACATTGTTTTTTTGCCTAAGGCAAGTTAGGTGTTAAAGTTGGGGAGATGGTTATGACCCCTTCATGCTGTTCTGTGGAAACTTTCAAGACCACAAGGGGTAGTTTAATAATATTTGTTGTGATCTTGGAGATTATTTTGACTGAATTCATTTGTTAATATGCATTTTGTCACTTTTTATTTTAAAAAAATCTGAAAGTACTAGAGTACTGGTGGACTCATGAAAGCTGAAAGAAAGGTAGGTTTAGGCTGAGCTAGGTTACTCTCATATCTATATTTTCTTTGTGACAAAGGATAGAAGTAAATTCAGGGAGTGTTCTTATAGCACCCAATTATTTGCAGCATCATGTTTGAGTAATAAGAAAGTTCTCAGGAACTCGGCAAAGAGGAATACAATTTTATGCACGTGCGTGTGCATGCACACACACACACACACGCACACATATATAACTGAATGCCAAATTAAAGATATTACATGATTCTGCATAAATTATAATTTTTTAATAGTAAATAAGAATTGATATTAAAAAGTGGGCATTAAATATTTGTGATTTTTGAAGTAATTAGTGTGATGAAATTACATCAAAGAAAAAAAACAAGTTGTGCAAACAGAGAATTTGGTTTCTAAAGTACAGAATTCTAGAGTAGCAGTGAGAACATTTATAAGCAAGGTGCCATCAGCTAAAAAGTGTTGTGAAAATGTACAAGTGACGAGAAGTCACAGCTCTTGCTCCACAAAGCCCCTCTGTGGTTTTAACTGAAACCTCAAGGAGAAAAAACAAGAAAATTCAATAAACCCCAACACCCTACAAATTTCTATAATGTGAACCACAGGACACCAGTACATTGTAACTGATTATATATTGAAAATGTATTCACGCAATATGATCAGAAATTATATCACAAAAATATCCAGACAAGAATCTGCATTAGTATCAATGACCTTGAATGTCTATAACAAGATGCATGGCATACCAATATCTCAGATGAAAAACAAGGGAAAAACACAATTGAAGACTCACTGTGTAGCAAGTTTCAGTACAGAAGCTAACTGTGTGCAAAACGGAGTATTTAGCAGGTTCAGAACATTCTCAGAGACAGAGGGATTTTCCATTAGGATGGTCAGAAGCCAATATTTACTCTCTTAGCATATTATATATATGTATAACAGCTGTCTCAAGAACTGCTCTTGGTAATAGTGTATCACAGTTAATACACTTTGCTGTCTGTTTGGAATACAAGCAAATTATTTGTAAAAAAAAGACAGTTACTCACCTTGTGCAGTAACGTCTGTTCTTCAAGATGTGTCCCCCCGTGGGTGCTCCACTCGAGGTGCTGGGCTCGTCCCGGCGCCACAATCCAGAGGATTTTTCATTAGCAGTAGCCCCCTGCCGGACTGCGCATGCGCGACGGCCCCTTCGCGCCTTTTATCTGAGCGCAGTCCGGTCTTGTCAGTTTCCTCCCACCCGGAAGCATCTGAAAGATATAAATAGAAACTCCGAAGCAGGGAGGAGGGTGGGTCGTGGAGCACCCACGGGGACACACATCTCGAAGAACAGACGTTACTGCACAAGGTGAGTAACTCTCTTTTCTTCATCGAGTAGTGTCCCCGAGGGTGCTCCACTCGAGGTGAATACACAGCAGTGGTCTAACGTTACATGAGTGCTTCGGGCCTATCATCCTCGTGCTGTAGACAAGACAGCCTGAGCTACCCTTGAATCAGAGGTAAGTATGTTCGCGAGAGCATAGTGTCTAGCGAATGTGAGGGTAGATGACCAGGTTGTCGCATGGTATATGTCCTGCAACGGTACTCCGTGAAGATAGGCAATGAATGTTGCCATGCCCCGGGTGGAACGAGCACGAAGACCACTGGAAGAGATTTGTTGCGCAAGGCATAACATTGTGTGATGCAAGCGATGACCAAGCAGGAAATACGCTGCGCACAAAGTTGCTTTCCCTTGGAGCGCTCGGCTGTAGAAAGGAAAAGCCGCTGAGACTTCCTAAAGACTCAAGTTCTGTCAAGGTAAAAGGCCAGTGCTCGCCTGACATCTACAGTGTGTAGACGTGCGTCTTCCAATGAGAAGTGAGTCTTTGGGTGGAAAGTCGGCAGGATTATGGGTTCATTTATGTGGAAAGCAGAGTTGACTTTTGGCAAAAATGCTGGTTGAACACGCAATACTGCCGCATGACTGGAGAATTGCGTATACGGCAGATCAGCAGAAAATGTTGCTAATTCACTTACTCGACGCGCCGACGTAATGGCAAGTAGGAACACTGTTTTCATCGAGAGCATTTGTAGATCACATGTTGAGAGCGGCTCAAAAGGGGAATGAGTCAGAGTGTCCAATACTAGAGGCAAGTCCCAAGGCTCCGGTGGGATCCTATGGGACAGATACAGATTGTCTAATCCTTTCAGAAACCTTTTGGTGATAGGGTGGACGAACACTGAATAGCCGTCAATTGGAAGACGGAAGGCTGAGATTGCCGCCAGATGTACTCTTAGGGAAGAAATAGCCATTCCCGTCGTCTTTAGATGCATCACATAATCTAGGATTTGTTGTATAGACAGTGAATGAGGGTCAAGATCTTTTGCAAAGCACCACGAATGGAAACGACGCCATTTTTGGAGATAGGATTTGCACGTTGTATGCCGCCTACTGTTAATCAACACGTGCCTCACTTCTTGAGAACAGGAGAGTTCGGAAGCCTGGAGCCAGCTAGGAGCCATGCCGTGAGGTGCATGCGATCGATGGCTGGGTGAAGAATTGTGCCGTGTTGCTGAGATAGCAAATTGAACAGTTCCGGTAGTCATCGTGGATTGGCAACTGACATCTTCGACAGCTGTGTTAGCCAGGTCTGTCTGGGACAGAAAGGTGCTATCAGAATTACTGTTGTGCCGCCTAGTGCTATCTTTTCCAGAACTCTCGGAATGAGTGGAAGAGGAGGAAAGGCATACAGGCAGTCCCTGAGTTACGCGGATCAGACTTATGTCGGATCCATGCTTACGAACGGAGCTTTTTTCGCCCCGGAGGATGCGGGCAGCAGGACCGCCCAGTCTGTCTGGGACAGAAAGGTGCTATCAGAATTACTGTTGTGCCGCCTAGTGCTATCTTTTCCAGAACTCTCGGAATGAGTGGAAGAGGAGGAAAGGCATACAGGCAGTCCCTGAGTTACGCGGATCAGACTTATGTCGGATCCATGCTTACGAACGGAGCTTTTTTCGCCCCGGAGGATGCGGGCAGCAGGACCGCCCAGACATGCCACGGTACCGCAGCCCATGTCCTCCGGGGTGAGAAAAGAGGCTCCGTGGCTCCCTGGTCTGCTGGGGGGGGGGCTCCCCCCAGCAGACCAGGGAGACACGGAGCAGCTTTTCTCACCGTGGAGGACACGGGCGGCGGGACCGCCCCGGCGCCTCTCGGCGGGCTGGC